TTTTTTTTTTTTTTTTTTTTTTTTTTTTGCCTTTTGAAATGTGTATCGAGAATGTTCTCGTAAAGTACTTACTCGCTGGACGGCGCGCATTCGTTCGTAAATGTCTGGTAATTCCTGTTCCTGGACATGTTGGCGAAGGACTGAACACGTTTGCCGGTTGTTGCGGTCGATTAAATTATTCTCAGTGGTTTATCGGGCCTGCTGTCACGAGTTTACTCGTATCAAACTCAAGTCATGTGCTTCTTACGTCTCTTGTGTCTTGTTTTATTTAATTTCGCTTATTTTCATGCTGGGAGTACCATCGTTTCAAAACTTTACAAAACGTTAAAAGAAAGATAGATAAATCTATCCATGTTTATCACAAATCTTCGAAGGAGTCAACTCAGATGATTCGGATCGATAGATTATACATTTCACTGGGATACGATGCGATTTTTTTTAACGCGATCTTTTCTATTGAAAATTTTTGTCGTTATGCACACGATGAATTTTCTTGACATTCCAATAATCGACGTTTTCTTTGTCACAGATCTTTACAGTTAATGGATTATCGATGCATTCTTATCAACGATATTGATAATATTTAGCAGATTATAGATATAGATTACGTATTTTTCAATCAATATTTATATTATCGAAATTTCTATAACAAAGTTAGAAGAATATCAAACTTTCTACTGCATTCTGGCTTTTTTTTTTACGAGAAGTTTACTTTTTATAATTTTTTATATTAATTTATTTTTTATATTAACCTCCACTAACGGTTCATTGTCACTTTTAATGTTGCAGATAAACATCTTCGGATCGGAAGATTTGCCAATTAATAAAGTCAGGAGAAATCACCGTTTATCCAAATGGAGATCATCATTTTCCACGAACGCTTCGTAATTATGGAGAATGAAATATAAAAATAAAAGAAGATTGTAGAAAGTAATCGACGTTGAATTCAGTGACTTTTTACTATTTATCCGGTGAAATTTACTCGATGTTCCACATATTTTTCACTGATTGCGTGCTTATCAATCGCAAATGACGTATATAATACAAACAAAATTTTCGAATAACGAGCGAATCGAAATTTCTTGCGATGAAAAAAGGTAATGCATTAGTAATTCAAATTCACGGATTAGCACAATGTTTTGCTATGATGAGAAACGTCTAACATCATTTGCATAATTGTAAAAAGAAGTATAGAAATAATGAAGAGAAAATATATCAAGCATATCGATGCGTGACTTCTTTGTTTACCGATCAAACAGATCTTCCTTTCTTGACTTAAAAGTATTCCAATATTGGATGAGTTGTATCTATTCATAAGAAAAATTAATCGAATCGAATATTGAATAACGTTGAAGTATACGTTGAATTTTAACAAATAATTTTTAAATAACAAATATTAGGATGTTCAATATTAATCTGATTTGAATAATCATCGTGATTAATCAATCAAAATATCTCAAGATATCTCATTATAAGAGCTTATTTGTGTTCTCGAATCGTTTTGACATTATTATTCAACTTTTCAAGGCGAATCGTCATTTCCTTCGAGTCTTCATCTTATCTATATCCCTTTCACTTCACCGGCAAATATATCTTATTGACAAATTAAACATGGAAGTTTTTAGCATTTAGAGAAGGATAATTGATGCAGGAAAGGGTTTTTTCAATTAAAATATTGAATATATATCCAATCAACATTTCTTTAATAAAAATTCCCTTATAAAAAAATCCTTGTTTTCATTCAACAAAATGACGAAATCGATCACAGAATAAATTGGATAAATCAGCGAAGAAAAATAAAGAAGGCTTGCATTTAGGTGGATAAATGGGGACATTAGTCGAATAAATTACCCGACAAAACGGAAAAATACTCGAACAATAATAAAGTACAGTGGCGATTGATCGATTGCCATTCGATTTACATCAAGGTTATAAATAATAGACCGAATCGAAATTACTCTATGATCGATCGATATGCATTTTCACATAGTATTCTTTGAAATTTGAAACTATCAATGGGATTGTGAACTAATAAAACATGTGAACTTATGATTAATATTATTTATATTCACATAAGCTAGATTTAATTAAATTTTTATTTTCAATTATAATCACGATGATCGAGCCGAACAAGAAGATTGAATTTTAAAAATTCTATGAATTTTCCAAAGTACAAATCCCTACACAAAAGATAAAAAGAAAAAATGTTCAAATCGAAATAAAATTAAATATCAATGTATTGTGCGCTAGTGTGTATCTATCGATAAGAGGAATAAAAATATAAAAGAAAGTTGTTGTATTATGAAATGAAATATGCGTGTTACAACGAGATTGTTCAGTTGTTCCAAGGAAATAGATCAATTAGTATCCGATAAGTAAAAAAAAGGTAAAAATCTTCGAATCAAATGTTTAAATCGAAATAAAATGAAATAGCAATGTACTCATGTATGTATGTGCTTATCTATCGATAAGAGGAATAAAAATATTATAAAAGAAAGTTGTTGTGCTGCGAAACGGAATGTGTACGTGTTACGATGCAGATTGTTCAAATGTTTCCGAAGAAATAGGTCAATTATATCTGATACACTTATCGTGATCTAGAAATCACGAGTTCACGTATGGCACGCGTGTTGAACGAGATCAATCGTCACAATTACATAAATTCGATCGATGTTTAATCGAATGATCGAATCAAAGGATGATCGCTTTTGTTGACTCGTGCTATTTTAAACCGGTGATTTACAAGAATCGATTATACAAGGATTTCTAAATCACTTAATGCTGTTTATATCTTTCTGGAAATTGAGGAAACTTTATATAAAATTGTACAGAGATTAAAATTTATAATCGATCAGATAAGCAGTGTCTATTTGACTCGAGACAAGAATCCATTCACGAAGAGAATAATGTCTATATTTTAAGATCACAGATATAGATATAGACGTTTTTTTCGATTTACTTTTAAAGATTTAATCGAAACGATATGATCGTTACTTAAAAAATTATGTTTTCGAGTCTTCTTTTTTGTTACTCCTTGCACAGATTGTATAATACATCGATAAGATTCTAACGTTGTATAATACATCGATAAGATTCTAACGTTCTTCGTTTCTAACGTTTCTAATAAATAATTAGTTACTTATTATAAGTAACAATGGGTGGAAACCATTTCACTTTCTGGACAGTGTCGAGCACGAGTCACGAGATTCGATAAGACTTGACAAAATACTCTCGTGACCTGATGAATGAATCATCAACGATTTCTAAAAATGATACGATCGATAGGAACAGAAATTCTATTGTTGTTTGCTGGTGACGCAACTTTTTTTTTAAGATTCAAGTTTAAATATTGACTTGATAGATTTGAGTTAAGAAGAATAAATGAATTCTTTGGAAGTAAGATTCGAAAAGTGTGTAATTTATAGAAAGGAAAAAATTTTAAATTTTCTTTTATTTTTTTAAAATAAATTCGGATACGTACAAGATCCGAAAGAAAAAAGTATAATTCAAAATGAAATAAGATCGATATTAATTAGATAATTGGCTTAAAGAAGATAAAGTTCAGAAAGTTGATCTAGAAAAGTGAAAGTAAAGAAAAAAAAAAAAAAAGGCATTAAGAAATTGCGTGAAAAAAGAAAAGAATGAATCGATACACGATACAATTAGAAATTGAAGAGCAAGTATTGAAATAAGTATCTTTAATATTATTATTATATATATATAGACAGTATCTGCGATTAATTGTTAATCTTGTCTATAATTCTTGAAAACCTGTATTATATGCAAAAATTCAAGAAACATTATTATCGAATGATTGCTCGTAAAAAAAATAATTATAACGATAGTAAGAGATTTACTAAGTGTGTAAAGAAATAGGAAACAAAATCCGACAGAGGATAAAAATACAAGGCAAGCGATAAGAAGAATTGAAGAACGCGTAAAAAGAATAGTATTTAATTGATCGTTTCTGTTCTGTACCTTCTATAAAACGAACTCTATTCTCAATTACAACTTATACAACTTAACTAACGGCACAGTTGTCACAGAGAAGAAAATAAAGTTTTTACGTCGAGCAGTGTTAATTACAAAGTTCAAGTCTAATAATTCTGGATGTCGATAACAACGATGTACAACATAGATGAAAATTTTTCGTTTCAAGGAAGAAGAGGAACAACAATGTTGATTTGAATAGAAATCGTTTGATTTCCGCCGAGTTTTCATGACGAACCGGCGTGATGATGATAAGTGGCAAAAAGAGAAGTCCGATATAAATATTGTTTATCAGCCGTTGCAGAGGATATCGATATCGCGAGCCAGGGTACCAAGCGAATTATCTTGCTTTCTTCGCTACTCTCGGACGTTTTATTCAGGCACATGATTGATAACGATAGAATGACTAATAACGCAAGATGTGTTATGTGTAATGTGTAATCAAAAAACAAGAGGAGAAAAGTGTGGGTTGATATAAAATTTAACAAATAAATTTTGTCTCCTTCAAAAAAAAAAAAAAAAGGAATTTACTTTGAAATTTCATCTCAATGAAATTCGATATTTGGAGAAACTCTGTGTAAATCTTTGATAAATGAGAAACGCACTTCTGAAGCGATAAAAATTGTCGAATTTTTATAAGAGTATCGCTGGTAACGATGCGATTAATTGTGATAAATATTCTTTTTATAGAAAGGCACGTGAAAGCGATTTCCACCAACATGCACAGAAAATTGCTATATTTAAATATGAACGTCAATTTTCTAGGAACAAAACATTGTTGTCAGAATGTAATTAAAATGTAAATTAAAATGTCCATCATATTATTGTCTTGAATTGTAAAGTTGTTACTGTTATCTATTATATATCATTATAAATATTGTTAAAGAAGAAGTGGATTCAAAAGTAATGCATTGCGATTGAAAACCAAATATTATTTTATAATATTAAAAAATATATAATATTAAAAATTATTATAATACAATATTAAAAATATTATAAAAATATATTAAAAAATATTATTATATAATATTAAAAACTAACGAAAGAAAACCGGATAAATTTCAGCAATAAGAATAAAAAACAAATCTATCTTAAATCTATTTTAAATTCAAATGAGATAGAATTGATGATGTATAAGTTCAGTGAAAAAAAAGACGAAAAAAGAGTATGATTAAGAGATAGAGGAAGAGGAGGGTAATAAAGAAAAGGAAAGAAAGGAAAAATGTTAAAAGAAAAGAGAATCTTAAAAGAGAAACGAAAAAGAAGAATTATAAAAGAGAAGAGAAATTGATAAAGCAGAAAAGGAAAAGATATTGATAAAGGAAAGGAAAAAGAGGAATTGATAAAAGCAGGAGAGGAAGATTGTAGCATGAATTCGTGCAATGCACGAACAAGTTTAAGAAACGTGTGCTAAATCCAATTTATTTAAATTGAATGTCAAATTGATACGAAAGAGACGAATATAAAATTTTTCTAATAAATGAACAATGAATAATAAGAAAAGAAAAGTAGAAAGAGGAATTGATAAAAGAACTAATTTTTTATTGGAGTTGAAAAAAGTTTTGTAAAGTTTAATAACAAGGTTTAATAAAAAAGATTTATTTCAATTAAATTTTATATAATTAATATTTTTAAAAGTTATTCTCGAGGATATATATTAAAAATAAAAATAATTATTTTTAAAATAATATTTACTTGCAAAATATTTTCGAGAATTCTTAATCAATAATTTCAATTCTTTTTAATAGATAAAAAAGGGAAAGAAGAGAAGAAGAATAAGAAAAATAAAAGAGAACATGAACATGAACAAGCTATAATTTGCATGTTCGATATTATAAAAACCATTGATTATTTAGCATTTGATTATTAAGTGAATTAAGTTAATATACGTGCCTCGATGAAACATGTAATTATCATGTTGTTTCATTAACATAATAAGATAAAGATGTTCGATTTATCACCTGTGCTACTCGTCGAATTGGCAATATTTGCCAATCTTTGGATCGAATATTATCGATATCGATAATTCATTGTTTTGAAATTGTTTAAACCGATTTGTTTCATCTGTTCTAAGCAAATATGCTTAGTGCCATAAATTAAGCAATGTTATCGATCGTGTTTTTCTCTTTTTCATTAACTTTTATTTCATTAACTCTTTATGCAAATCTATGCAAATCTGGTATTTCTGATTCGTTAAATATATCGAAGAATATTTCCAATGCTAGTTTTAATAGCGTTCGTAATGGCGATCAGTCTTGAGAACTTTTCCAATGAACAGGAGGTAATGAATCATGTGGAAAGCTATTGTCACATGAGCTGTTTCCGTAGAGAAAC